CGTGACATGGTTCACACATGTAAACTGAAGTACATGCCTAGGTATCTGCAGGATCAGGGCCTTGCTAATTCCAGCACCTATTTATGTCTCTTTCTAAGCCTCATCTTTCCTTTATGCTAGTTACTATTCATTCAGTAACAAAACATTTAATATCATTCAAAAACACAGTTAAAAATACATTGAATTACAGAATATTACATATTACAGAATAATGCATACAAAGAGTGTACATCTTTGCGTACTGGATTTCAGGGTAGCTTCACATAATGTATCTTTGCGTCATGATTACTTATATTCTAGTGTGCTTAATGTAAATTACCTGGCACTGTAAAGAGTACAAAACCTTCAAACCTTCAATACAAATCTAGTGACTAGAAGAATAAGTGCAGTGACACACCTGATCCCAAAGCATCCTCCACAAGCACAATAACATTAGGCAACCTCTATTAGGATACTGATCACATTGATACTTGAATACCTTAAAAAAAAAATTAAAAATCTGCTGCTAGTTACTGCAACTTGAGAATTAAATGGAATTTAGAAGTCAAAGGATACTTAAAATTCACCATGAGCACATTCTACACAAAGTCATAAGTGGTACAATACGACAGGAAAAATTGTATCCTAACAGTGTCCAGGCCATGAGCCTGTGTACCAAAGTAGCACATTGTGCATTCTGTGAATATCTGATTTGCTCAGTGGTATAGCTATCTTGTTAAAAATAAGAGCACTAGGCTTCAAAGTATGGCCTTCAGCTTGCAGTCACAGTAGCCTTCAATGGATAACTAGCAGAGATCATGTGACAAAAGCTAAATCATCCGCAGAAGGAACAGAACGGTTGGGAAATAACAAGGAAACCAAACTGCTTCAGTGAAGTGCAGCCCTAGAAATGTATCCTGGAATTTTCAGTCTGGACCTTCTAATACCAAGTTCTATTAATAAATACAAAAGCTGAATAGAGAGCATCATCTGCATTACAGCAAGGGAAGAAAAAAATTTGTAGCCCTCTAACACACTAAAATGGCAATGACATAACGTTTCAAAAAGTTAAATCATGACTTAGAAACACATGAAAAAGTAAAGGAATTTTAAAACATAATTTTGTTTCTGTAAACATATATTTATATGTGTATACACTTATACACAGACAGATATAGACAGAGAGGTAGAGCATTTTCTTCTGGCTAGTTTTTAATCTATCAGTCATAATGTCTATGCACTTCTGTAGAAATGATCTGCCTCTTTCTAACCCTTTCCCCATTTTTGTTACTTGAGTATTGCTCCACTATTTACTATATGAAACTCGATTAAGTAGACATTAAGGACTTTTCTCTGTGCTCTTCATTTTTGGATAATGCAATACTGCTTCTTACTTAAGGAACTGATCCTGTATTCCTTCTCCAAAGATTTCTCTCATTTGGGGTAGCAGTCTTTTATTGTCATGAGAGTTTTGATCAAACAGAGACAACAAGATCAGGCATTCTCTTAGTTGAAGGAAGGTAAAAATGTTTTGGAGGCTGCCATGACTCTCCCAACCCACTGAATTGCACATTTGCATGGTCTTGTCAAACCACAAAAGCTGTGGCACTGGCATGGTTCTCACCTGGACCCCTTCGGGCACCAGTAGCACAAAACATTATGTATTTATGAACACATAGGGTTTGGGGGATGAATACAGGGCAGAGAAAGCTAATGAGGCCCACAGGCAACATGGATCAACATGCATTTCTACACAGGGACCATATATCAGATTCTGCTATTTGTACCACCAGCGTGCCTTTTTTTCCCCTTAGCCCTAGTTTGGAAGGAAAGAGAAAGATGTACTAAGAGCCTAGTACTCACCCATTAAGTGCTCAACTGAATGAGCTTCCACACAGAGAAAAACCAGGCTCTAAATATTCATCGCGTGTCTAAATTCTGTTAAGAAATCCCTAGACCATTGCAGAGCTATTGAGGATCGAGACTTTGGCCATCAAAATGCACTTAGATGCATTTTACATGATTGTTGCACGATGCATAGCACAGGTTAGCTCTAAAAGACAGATTCAAAAATCTTTAGACTTAATGAGTATTAGAAGCCTAAATACTCTGCTGATCCAGATGCTTGTTAAAAATATTTACTCAGGTTGTGGACGCCTAAAGAGATCACATGCTGTAGAAAAACATCTCTTAAGCATGAAGTGTCTATACCATCTAGAATTTTGTACAGACCTTTGTTAAACAGTGAAAGCCAAAACACAACAGCCTTCAAAAACAAATTCTTATGAATATCATACATACACTTAAAGCATCCTTTTTATGAAAGTCTGTCAGATAGCAAGAGGAAAATAGACTGAATTATAAAAATAAATCAGTTTCGTCTCATAATATGTGTCCTCTGAAGCTTTCAGACAAACATACTCCCTTGATATGCTGCTTCAGCATCATTGTTAGAAAAAACACTCTCTACATCATGCCATATTTTATCCAAACTAAATAGCTAAAGGACATCATTTGCCAGAGTGAATTAACGTATCTGGCAAATGAGTAATCCAATGGGGAATCACAGATATGTGTTCTCACATTAAGTGATCAAATGAAGGGCTAAGGACAGCCCTTGAAATAGAAGCAATTTTTGGATTATTGGTTAACAAAAACAATATTGACTCCAGGGGAAGTGCCTTCCTAATGAAAACAACAGCTCACATAAAGTGAGTTTAAAGGGTCAAATCTGTAATTATATTTCGCTGAGAATGTTGTTTCCCAGATTAAAAACATCTTTTTTGGAAACGTCAATCAAATTATTTGCATATATATGGTTTTATTTATTTTCACAAACATTTGATTTTTGTAGTGATGTTAGATGCTCACATGATCCAGGTTCCTGGAGTCCAAGCCCAGTGAAAGCAATTGCTCTTTTATGAAGGCCATAGTGCCCTTAGACTATAATTTAAATTGCTAAGTACTTCTCTGCCCATTTTTAAAAACCATAGAAGTTTTTAAAATTCTATGTCTTAATGACACTTGTCTTATTACTCTTTGGTGACATGCTTCATTGTTATCTTTTTTTTTTTTTTAACAGAAATCAGAAGGTTAGAGGGATAAACATTCAGTTGATATACATTATAACCATTAGGATCCTGGTCTCTAATGAAGTAATATGCCTTTTCAATATGATGCTATCCTTACCTTGGTCTAAAAGCCAGTATGACTGGCTTTTATTAGCGCCATGGCAAGGGCATCACCACCACCACTCTAGGGCAGCTCTAGCAGATGTGGGGAGACCTCTAAACGAGTGACATGAAACAGTCCCATGGCTGATACTGTCATTACTGCAAGTGCAGTGCATGATAATGTTGCCTCCCAGGCTCTGGGCTGAGCAAGCAGAAGGCTGCTGTGGGCACAGGAGAGGCCATGGTACATAGCAGTAGGGAGATTGCCCAGGGGCTGCAGAGACAAGAAGAGGACATGGGAGATGGGGCAGGGCTACCCTGCAAAGCCAGCCACATGCTGGTTCTTTAAAACTGGAAAACTGAAGCTGTAAGCATTTCTCATTTTCAGTTTCAGTGTATGCAATACTCAGTGGCCAACAAGCTGAAGGGCTTATTTACATTGGTTACTGGAAAAGGAAGCCTCTACCATTTGCTATACCCTCCCTACAGGTAGCTACTTGGCCACACATTTTGCTCCCACAATAAGTTTCTTCAGAAGAGGATAGGATGGAGACAAGCAAAAGAGAAAGACTTCAGTAGGAAGACAGACAAAACCAAAGACACCACTTATACCAGACATGGAAATTGAAAAGTTTCCCCCACCCCATCACTCTTCTGCTCTTTCATGCATTTCTTTATGTACAGCCCTGGCCTGAGATGTGGATTTCCCTGCCACAGCCCCGGGTAATGACAACCCTAAGCTCATTAGACCATTATGCTGGAATGAATATCCTTTGCCATAGATCTGCAGCACCTACTTTTGGCACCTTTATCCATAGTATCTAAGTACCACTCTTTTTTCCCGCTTGGCTTCCCATCACTGAAAGTTGATATTCCCTACCCAAGCATGATGACATATGTGTAACCACAAGATCCTTAATAATAATCTAGAATTACTGTGCTTTCACCAACTGCTCATAAGCCCCCTGCACTGGCATACTCCAGCCTCAGATTGAACAAAACGCTTCTCTGCCATCAAGTTCAACACTGTCTGTAGGGAGGAGGAAAAAGGCAGGAGGGAGCTGAGTTCAAACTCCTCCAAGGGCCAGTCCCAGTCTTAATCCTGGGCAGCAGTCCCTAGGAGAAGCCATGCAACAAGATCTTTCTAAAGCCTCCAACACCACCATTTCACGCAATGCACATCTTGACAGAAAACTGAAGTGATTTAAGAAAAGGTCACAGACTCAACTTCTTCATAAGTGCTGTTACTTCGGTGTTGGTACCAAATAGATAGGTCAGATCTCAACAGATCTACGGGAAACTAGATGAGATGCATTCCTTAACTTCTGAAGAAATCAGCTATGTGTACACACACACGCACACATACACTGAAGAGGACCTATAAGACTAAACAAGACATGGAAAAAGGAGGACAAAAGAGTTAATTTCAAAGTTTTCTTTTTATGAATTTGAAAAATAATAATGAATCACTGCACCAAAAATAGTTTTAGTTACAAATGCTGGGTCAATTGTTATTTTTCTTAACCTCTGAAGAGTAGCTCCAGGTAATTATACTGGGCCAGAGATAAAAAAGGTATGAGCAAACATAGTGAAAATGTTCAACACAAACCAAAATAAGGACCTGATACAATGTCCTCTATGTGGCCTCATTTTTTTAAAGAAGAAATGTATTTTTTAAATTACAACAATTTCAAATAGAGAGAGTCTAAACGTGTTTCTTTAATAATCTCAGCATAAGAATACACAGTAAGCAATCAAGAAACTTATTTGAATGAGATTAGAATTATTTCATAATATTAAGCCATAACATCATTCAGATAATATTTTCTGTCAATAATCAGAACTTACCATATTTATTGGGTCAACTGGGCCAATGCTGTTAACATAGACATCTGTTTCAATTACCGTAGTTCTCACTAAACAAAACAGTAACCATAATAATTACATATTTAATTAACTCTGTACATTGTTAGCGTAATTTAACCTATTTACTAAAACAACAGCAAATCTGATATTCTTTTATTAGATTCAGAATAATTAAATCTCTGGTTTGTTCATTCTGTGAAGGATCGTATATGACTTGGCTCCCTTGTTCCACACAAATTGTTAGAATTATCAACATGAATTTTTTACTTCGTAATGCAATCCCCACCTGCACTTTGTGAATAGATAAAAGATAGATATAAAAGGTATAAAAGATAAAGGAAGGGAAAAAAAATCAAAACCAAAAACTGTCTTCCAACATAAAAATTTAATCATAAACAGAAAAAAAAAAGTTTGGAAAAAATTGGTCATACAACAAACCATGAGGTCTGGGAGCAGATGTGTTTATCAGCTGAAAGGAATCAATATGCAGTGTTTTCTGTCGATTCCTACTGAAAATATGTAACAAAAATAAAATAACTTTTCACCACATATTTCTTCAATTCATGCAACTATAGCACACCTAAGGATTACTAATGTCCTTTTATCAGCTTGATTAATACACTGCTTTAAACACCAAATTGAAAGCTCCTCAAGTGAAAGTCATTTACAAGTTAAACATTTCAAAACTTTTCTTTAAAAACACAGGGAAACCACTCTCACTGGGCAGACAAAAATTAACTGTTTTAAAAATATATTGTCTTACAGAATACACTCTCTTACTTTGTACACCTACAGAAGGGCACAAAGTCTAAGTGACTTCCCATTAAAGTCACATCTGAAGTACAGGTGGCACTAATAATTCAGTTTTTTCCTCCTAACTGGTTTATAGGGGGAAAAGGTACTAACAGAAGAGCTCAGGATGCATTTTAACTTCATCAATTTACCAAGCATTTTCTTCTAGCTTGTACTGGAGAGCCAGAATGTGGATACAAGAGGACATGTGTCCCCAGTGGAATGAAGAGGGCTAATAACAAAGCTCTGCTGGTCTTGCTCTCATGATCTGGCATGTTAAAATGAAGCATTTCTGTCCATCTGCAGATGGAAAACGGGGAAGGTACAAACAAAAAGGCACTTTGATTTCATAGGAGAGGGACCCTAGGTCACCAGATTTGATTTCTTTATAGTGCAAACCATCAGAGATCATCCAAGTGCTCTATAACAAACCTAAAACCTTAAGTAAGAGGATTTTTCAAATCTCAAAAATCTAAAACTTGAACAGACACACAGAAAGAAACAGGGTATCATTAACATCCTTGCCAGCTACAATGACAGGCAAGATACATTTCCTAAATATCCTAAGATACCTTTTCCCTGCCAATCTCACTTGGGAGGAAATTCTCACAGATTCCAAATCCAATTACTGGTGTGACCCTGAGCCTGACAGCAAGACACACCAGTGGGGCTGCACAAAGGCTTTTCTGTACGAGCACAGAGCACAGAGTCACTTGATCACCACCCTGTCCCCAGCATGCTTCACGGAAAGTTTAAACAGACCCTGGAAACTAATTTATTTCCTGGAGGAAAAAAAAAAGTTCTTCCTGAGCTGCAGATGTTTTCAATATCTGCAGGGCTCATAAAGGAAGAGGGGCAACACAAGAACTCATATCCACAGACTGAAAAATCAGAGTAAAAAAAGTATATAATGCATGTGTGTATATACACATACGTATAATATAATTTACATACACCATATCTCGCAAAGAGATATCCTCTTCCTTTAATTTTGCAACCCTATTTATCTATATAACAGCAACCCCACTGCTAGACTAGAACACAAGGAGGTGGATCAAAGTGTATCTTGCCTCATTGCTCAAGCAATGCTGAATCCACTATTTTTTCCCCGTATTAGTAGGAAATGTTTAATTCTCCTTAGTGTTAGGAAATCTTGTTTTGTTCTGAGGTTCAAGTCTTTGACTCCAACTTTCAGCACTGCCTAGTCGTATATCAAACCTCTTCTTCAGACGCAAGTACCACAGTGATTAAGGTCACCTCTGAAACTTTCCTTCAGTATGCTGAACAGTTCACACCACATACTCCAAATGCAGCCTACAGATAATCTGTTTAGCTTTAACTTCTAAACTTGCTCCATTGTTTCCAGATCCATTTTGAAATGTGGATACCAGGGCTGGAAATTTTTGTCACAGTGTTATCAGTGCTGCTTGAACATTTCCAGATTTCTGCTTCTTGTGTTCCTTTTTCAAAAGGGGACTTATCTCAGGACAATGCTCAGGGGATGCATAGCTAAGATCTTATACTATATAAAATGTCTAAGTTTTCCCCTAAATTACTGCTTTACTATGCAGAATCTCTCACCTTGAAATATAACCCACAAGCTTCCACCCCCCCACCTCCTTTTTTTTTCCCTTTCAATTTTTGTGTCTCCAGTTTTACTGAAGGAGCAGGTTATTACTCTGCAGATACAGTCTCTCCCTTACCAACAGTCTTTCTGTCATCTGCCAACTTTACTACAAAAATTCATTGCTGAAATAATTCAAAATATCATTATTCTTGATCAAGACTTTCCTATGAGGCCCTACTATATACAGCCCAACCACTGATATTTCCTTATTAGCAACTAAATTTTGAGATCTGTCAGTGAGCCAGTTTTTAATGGGGGCTGTGTCAATTTTATGAAATTCCAGCTTGCAGCGAGCAGTACTTGATCTGCCACAAGGGCTCTCCTATAATGTGTCACGGAGTTCAATTTGCCTTTTCCGTACTGCTCTGAGTAAGATTATTAGAGCTATTAAGAGCCAGTGAAGAGTCTGAAAATCTGCTTCTGTTGAAATTATTTTAATTGACCCAAATGATCCAGAGAAAGAGATCCAATTCAAGAAGACTGGAAGAGGCTGTTTTGTTATCTTAGTTCTTCTGTATGGTACAGAGCAAAGTAATTCTGTGAATTAGAAGAAATAATTCATTCTTCTCGTGTTCTTGAACGAGAAGTCATATGAGCCCACGAAAATGACAAATGCTGGAGGAAAATACGTTCTTTACTCATTTGACATCTGTATAATTACTATTGTTCATTTACTCTCCACAAAGAGGTAACAGAGAAAGATGGTTTGAGAAGATGTTTCTACAGTGAATACTTCTTATTTTACTTTAAAAATTTGGTATCAGCCTTGAAAACACTAGGAGTAGGAAGAAGGCTATTTAACACATCCTGCGTGAAGTGCAAAGCTGTACTGTGAACTTACTAAGGAAGGGGAGAAAGAGATAGCACACTTTAAATGTTTACCCTGAAAGACAATATGAGCCAGGCTAGAGTAAAGTAAGAAGGTGAGAGGACAGCAGATTGCATACTCAAGAGAGAAAGAGAAGAGCACCAAGGGGCAGCTGCCCCCCGAGTGATAGTTCATCAGCTCCTAACGCAGCTGAAGCACACAGGGAACCTGATCTTAGAGAGATCTACTCACACTTTCTGACTTCCTGCTTTGACACCTTTTCTTTACTAAACTAAACTTCTCTTCTTCTGTTTTAAAAGGTTTGACTGGTATTGAGCATCATCTAACACAAGCACATGGTTAAGGACAGGCTTGTCTCAAGAAATAAATATAGCAAATAAGTGACTCTTGTGCCTGGGATTGAAGAGCAAGAATGAACGTCCCGACAAGCAACAAGACCTGGAAAAAAGTCTCTCTCAGCAGGCATGGACCACTACCCTTCTAGTAAGAGATGATGCTGCATAACCCCCAGGCATATTCTGAATCCCAGTTTGAGTTCAAAATCTGTATTTTGAAAAATGTTTACTCTCGATTAGAAAAACCATAGTGATAAAAATCCACCTCAGTCTTTGACAAATTAATTTAGTAATTGCTCTTGCTATCAAAAGTGCCTCTTTTTTAGCCTGTATTTATCCAGGCCCAATCTGCAGCTTTTGATATTTGAAATATCTCTGCCTGCTACATTGAAGAGCTCTCCTTATCAGTTATTCTCAGTTTATAAACCCCATCTCCTGACAGAAATTATCATTACTGTAAAAGTGCAAAACATTACACTTTTTATTGCTTAATATTACTCCATTTTCATTACTCCAATCCTCAACATTACCCAATAGTGTGTTAGTCCATATAAACTCACTAGCCGGTTCCTGTAGTTTACCACAATTCCCCATTTTGGAATGAAGGTCTAAGATATATCACCTCTTTTTTATTATTACTTATCATGCTATTTAATTTAAACTAAGACCACTTTTGATAATTTCATCCAGGCTTATTTTCTTTGAGCATGTTTTCTATAACTCCTCATTAATTGCCTAAAGAAGCATCTCTTCTTGGTGATAAAGCAGTTATTCAGCAAATAAATTACGCGACTACCACATTCAGGAATAACAGAGGCCTTCAATTTGTAATAGTTTTTAATGGAATAATACAATTCTCACAACCAGTTATCTAAGAGTATTACTTATATGGCTATCTATATTGAAAATTCGGTCTCAAGTGTCTACAGCAGGCTTCCAGCTCCATCTCTCAAGAATTTTTTCAAAGTGATTTTGATGAAAGCAGAGCCCTGTTCTCCACACTTCTTCTTTTACCTTTTTATTTAAAAGAAACCCATCTTTAGCAAATACTCCTACCCCACAACTTTTAATATTTCCATCATTTTCTATGCAGTGCACATGTCCATACAAGCATATGCTCTTCTACATCTTGCTCTTGTATTTCAATCTCCTTCAATTCTTGCAAAATATTCTTCACCTCAGAATACATACCTCTCTACCTTTACCCAATATTTTCCTGCTTATTCGGGCTCATTTCTTTCCTGCCTATATCATCGTTTCATCAATGCTACACTAAGAATACCTGTTCAACAGAGTGTCCCCTTAATATCCTTATCTTTTCAGAATTAGTGCTTCTATTAGTCTCTTGAAAGTCCACTTTTTGTTCATGTATCCTTTATATCCCTGAGTACATGACTTTTCACATCAGTGCACTGAGATGCAATTACTTACCCATGCCCTCCTTATAGGGCAATTACAACTATCCAAATTTCTCTATGTCCATGAGCAATCATCCTCACCGTTCTTAAAAATCCTAACAGTGATGACTTTCCTCAAACTGCTAGTTGAAAACACTCCATTAGAGTTGTAGATATGTGATGATTAATCCCTATTTTTAATTAAACTTTCAGATTGATCAGTTGTGTTTCACCCATATAATACAGAACACTGGACATGAATCATAGCTGCAAAAAATGCACTGTACATCGATAGGCTAATATTAACATATCAGTGTCCCTAAGGTGTGACAGATGGAACAGTGTGCAGCCAGAATTCTTTCCTTTAAAAAGGAAAGTTGAAAAATAACAGCTAGTTTGATGCAGGACTGAAGCTAAAACAGTGTGGTTATAAAATCTGGTAGCCAAAAGGTAACCTTACAGTGAGAATAATACTGCTTTATTAACATATCAACATTCCAATGTTGTATTGGTAATTAAGGGGATTTATACTACAGATAAGAGACTTCATCTGGTAACTGCTATTACTTCATACTGAGCAGAAGGTACTTTAATACTAGTTCCTTTATGCTCCAAACACCTCAAAGTATATTACATAAATTGAGTTAAAGACTAGTAAGATTAATAAACATAGCAAAGGGTAGCAGTTAAGAAATCACTACAACTCATGGATATTTGAATGAGAAACTGAAAATGACAGAGTATGGGTTTCTCTTATTAAAATTCAGTATTGCCTCTGATGTTTCAATTTTCATTTGGCTCTCCTTTATCATCTCCCTCAAGTAACTGCATGTTTAACAATGAAACCCCTCATCTCACTCTGAGATGTTGAAATTCTGTGTCAACATTAGGAAGAAAACAAAATTCTGGGTATTCAAACCCAAAAAGTCCAGGTTGAAAACAAAAAATGTTGCTATTGTAACTGAGCTTTGTAATTCAATAGTAAAAATGTTCTGTGGGATATTATCGCTTTGAAAGATAATTAGAATTCCAGTTCAACAATCTTGTTGTACAAGTACTGACATATAGTCTGAAGATGTGGAATCTGACACCAGATTTTATCCACATAATTGAAGCAGACTAAGATGAATGCACTGTAGCCTGATTTTGTTTTACTATCTATTAAATATCTGCTGCAGTTCCCAAGCAGCTGGACAGAATGCAATGCCTTCACTCGAAGTTGGAAATCTCATCTTATGTTCTTCAAAATCTCTGCTGTGTGGCAAAAGTCTGCGACTTCCATCCAGAAGAGAGTCAGTCTTAATGTTTGTTCTCCTGGCAGCAAAGTGAATATTCTCAAATGTCTCCTGTTCTCATCTGGCTGATATTCATGAACGTTATGTTTTAATATATTGGTTGGAGGCAGGTCCCAAATAGCAGAGATCAGCTTGGTACAAAAGTATTGCACCAAGAGAGCAAAGAAGAAAAAGAAGGGGAACACTTATGTGAGAAAAGCTAGAACCAAGTGTCTTCTTTCAGGAACTGATATTTGGAATCCAAAAAGTTGCACGCTGAGTTACTCACAAAAAGGCAGAGTTCTTGCCCTATCAAGACTCAGTACATAACCAGAAAAGTGGAGGTAAGGATTAAACCAAAATTCTTCCATGCCAGTCTGAATCCATTTGACTTGTAAGAATAGACTCCTCTTCCTCTATTTTCCCTCTCTTTATTTCTAAGTTTTATGGGGAGAGAAGAGAAACAGAATTCTCTTTTCTTTCATCCCCACCTACCAGTTAATCATTAGAAGGAATCCTAGTCGAGACAGTTTATTCTCTCATAATCCCTTTGCTGTCAGTTGCATCAAGCAGTCGAGGGAAAAAAGAAAAGTAATGCTATACATCTGTCACAAACTGAGAATTTAAGGAAAAATATGCTGGAAGACCTTTATTGTTGTCTAAATGTTTACAGTAATTCAATTAAATTAACATGAAGGCAAAGACTTACAACAAACTTTGTGAGATTTACATGTGATTGTATTATGACAGGGAGAGAAAAATTCAACATCTTCAGGGTAACAGTCAACAACAAAACAGAACTAAGGAATTTGGGGAAAAAAACAATTTGTCAGAAGCTTTCAAAAGAAAATACTTAGTTTCAGATTGCATCTCGCTGTTCTCCTACATAAATGAAACAAGTCTAGATTGTTGTATTGTTTATCGTATAAGCAGCTTACAGACTTACATGGCATTCCCTTGATAGGGAATGCCAAGTATTTAACAAATAATTACGTCCTCCACCTCTCCCTTCACAGTTCAGGAAACAAACTCAGAGAAAATAAATTATTTTTCTTAGCTTTATCCAGCACGCATATGGTAGACAAGAGCTGGCAAGGTTTCATGTATTCCATGTTTTCAACACAAGATTCTTCCAAATATTTACAATTAATAGTTATATGCAAATTGATGCTTTGACTGTTGAAAGACAAAATTGCCTTCTTACTATCTGCAAAGTTTGATCTACAGCAATGCAGTCTTCCTTCCTATATTCCTCTTGAAAATATATAGACCTAAGTTATATTTTTAGATTCTTATGAAGTATTTCAAAATCTGAGCTAAGGGAAGAATAGAGCTGGGTGAAGTTAAATTTGTTCAAAATCCACACTTACAATGCATTTTCTACAGTAAGAGTAAAAATATCTAGGAATAATTCTTTAATAAACTCCTACAGACTCAAGATAAAATTTTTAAATAACCATGTTTTATATCTACAAGTCTTTCTGTCAGAAGACCTTAGTTAAACAAAGCAAAATATAATTGCTTTTTAATGATTTATTATCGATTGCCCACTGTCCCAAAAAAACCAATACTTTACATAGGAAAAAGAGATTGTAAATAGAACATAAAAATTCTACTCTTCCATAGAACATTATTTTTACCAGTTCCAGAAAATCATTGCATTTTATTGCTGTTATATTTAGCTTGTCATACTGATTTTTAAAAGTTGCATTAAGTGGACTTTTGTGATCTTTTATGAAATGCAGGCCATCTCTGGTTCACATCTTCTATTACTGAATTATTTTAAGGGCTTACCCCCAATATCTGGCCGAAGCTTATTGTCATATCCTTGAAGTAAGGAGTCCAGTATGTGAGTTACATCCCCACCGTGAATCTTTGGTGCAAGGACCCATGTTTTATTCACAGTTAGATCTTCATCGTCCTCATCATCTGCTTTATCAGCTCTATGGTGAGTGAATAAAAAAACAAGGTTAGGAAAAAAAAAACTAAACAGTGACACTAAATACACAAGAGGTGAAGAAGAAACTGATAAAATATTGAACACTATTTAGAGTATTTTATAAAAATCCAGATGCATTCCAGTGCCAACAAAAAGAGGCAGGCCCTTATTTAAAACGCCAACATTTTGGTTTATGGCAGTAAAGAGTGTAAGCTAATAAACATGACAAGAGAAGAATTAACACATCACCCATACAGAAAAACTCAAGCCATGAATCAAACTCATAAAAGCAGCAGCAGGCATCCTCTTACTGTCAGACTTTTCCTGTTTTAAAAGACAAAATATAATTCCCAAGATTT